AAATTGGTCAGATGAAGCATGCTGTCACTGTCCTAACTTGCTAGGCCATGGCAGATAAACCCCAGGTGTAAAGGGTGGGGTCAGTATTGTGCACACCCTTGTGTGCAACTAAAAACTCCACTGCTCAAGCTTGAAGGGTATGCTCATGTCTACGGTCAATATTATTATTAAACCCTGCAGCTATTGGAAATGGGCAAACCAGCAGGTGAAAGATAACACAGGGTGATGCAGTTCCAATCCTTCATGTCAGTGGTCCAGGTGTATAGGTCATCTAATGTCAAACTCAGAGATGACGACATAATTCAGCAGCATCCTGAATGATCGAGCAGCCTTATCTAGGGATAGCACTGCTTGCTCCACTTAAAGAGGAGCCTAGGAAAGGTGGCTTAACCAAAGCTCATCTCCATATTCCCCCAGTTGACTAGCTGCTGTCAACGGTCTATTGCCGTTGAACAAATAAAATGAGTAAAAGACACACATCTGCCTCACGAGGTGTGTTAGGACTAAAACTTGTGTAATGAAATCCCTTATTAAACAGGCCATGCGAATCAGCCTGTTCGGTTATTTGGATGGTTACAGAGTGATTTCGTGCAAACAGCAAGAAAAACGAATAAACTACCGAACCACCCGACCTCCCACTGAGGTCGTGTGGCGCCTATTAACCACCCAGACTGTTGCGGTTAACCACAGACTAATTGGGGAATAGCTGGTGGTCCGCGTTCGTTTACCGAACACGTGGCAATCGCCATTTTGGATTGTCGAATGCTCAGCGGTAAATGGCGAGGATTCCCTGGAACTAATTTCGGCTACTTATTTTGTCGAACACCGCTGCTACCTCCTCAAATCCTCGTTCGTACGGTGGAAAAACACACAAATGAAGGAGATACTGCTTCATTCGTGCGCTGGAATTATGCGAAAGTGACCGACCCCAGATAGCTACAGTATGGAACTTGTAGTCAGCTACAAACACACGAACGGCCGGCGAAAGCCAAACTTCAGTCGACATTTCTGAGAACTGTGTTCGTGGGATCTGAGCGCTATTCGCCTAGAATATGCACTCAGATCCAAGCTATCTGGGGATATGTGGAACTTAAAGTTTATGTTATAGATTTTTATGCTGTTTTGCTAAAATAAGAAAAGCCATGTTTCTTTCTACCTGGAGATAATTAAGGCTCTCTTTGCTACCTTAAGTTAATTATCTCCAGGATGGAAAAGAAGGAGTGATTTATGTAAAAGGGGAGTGCTTATACAATAGCCACTGTGATTGGCTACTGTGATACTTTTGTCCCAGTCTTCCATCTGGTCCCCTAGGGGAGTGTCCACCAGGTGGGAGACCTGCACAAATACCGGGCGGGTAGCCCACAGTAAATCAGATCGTTTTACCTTCATGAAGTCTCGACTCATGTTTGGGGGATTGGGAGTTATAATCACTTTTGTTTCATCTGGATTTCGGGAGAAGCTGCAAGGATCATCGCTGCACGAATAGAAGGATCCTTTACAACTTGCATGCTGGAATATCAAAACCATGCTCAATACAGTAGAAAACAGTCACCCTGAATGGCGCTCTATTTTAGTCGCCCACAAACTCTCAAGGCTCAATGTTGATGTTGTTGCTCTCAGTGAAGTTCGGCGCCCAGAGGTAGGCAGCCTTCAAGAGCTTGGCACAGAATACACCTTGTACTGGCAAGCCAGAGACCAAGAGATGCTTCTGTTGTGTTGACTTTATGATTAGGAACTCCTGTGACGGACCGCCTTGCACCCTGACCGGGTACCTCCGTCAATCGCTGCTTCCTAGTGCTTGCACCGTACAGGACACCATAAACACCGTAAACTTGCCGTCCTCAACCACTCTGGACCCAAGACCAGGATCCAGCTTCCAGTGGGTAAACCTCTCCTAGTCCAG